AAGCCCAGAGTGCTGACGTGGGACAGAAGAACTGGCTGATGAACGCCGAAATTGCTCTGGAGGAACGCGAGCGAATGCTCAATTCACAGTGGTCCAACTTCGAGCAGCAACTCAAGAAGCGTGAAGAAGAATGGAAGCTTGAGAGGGAGGCAATGGCGAACGGCATGCAAGGTACTTCAAGCCGCCCTGTCCCATATTGCCCCTTATCCAGCAACTGGCATACAGTCAGAGTCCCTGAGTCCCCCCAGTCCAGCAAGCCTGAATCCAGTGCGAGCAGTCGCGGCCAAGAATAGCCAGACGCCCATCGTAGGTGCGTCACCGACTGTGGCATCCGTCCAACACAGTGTTGCGGTGGACCAAAAGCGAGAGATCAAGCGCGAGACACCCACAGTCAAGAGCGCCACTCGCTGAGAGTCGTCGAATACGTAGCAGCCTCCGTCAGCCGTGAAGCGAACGGAGTCGCAAGTTGCGAGGAAGACTACCGTGCGGAAGGAAGAGTCTGCATCATCGTCGTCGAAGAGGTCACAGCCGAAGAAGGCGAAGAAGCAGTCTGACCCTCCTCCGGACGACCCAAATGACTCGGAGCCCAGCGACAGTGACAATGGGGTAAAACTCCGACTCTAGCGACGCTGAAGGATTTTCAAGCGAGGATGAAGACGTCGGAATGACTACGACGACGACCACAGCCGCCGGAACGACGATTTGGAACTGCAGACCCTACGTTGGCTATACTAACTTGGAAAAGTTCGACGAAAAGGCATCCAGGGATAATCGGGTCAACCGGTGGGAGCGATTCTCGGATATTGCATCTCAGGGATCCTGGTCAGACACCATGATGATCCGTCCGTTCAGGAGCCGGATGCCCACAGCAATCAGGGACTGGTTCACGCAGCTACCTAAATCTACACGTCACGACTGGAAACAAATGTCGCGCAGATTCAGGGAGCTGTACATCGGTACCACGGGCTCGTACTCGGAAAGGTACTTCACGATGAAGATGACCGACCATGATACCCCATTGTAGTTCTTCTATCGTCTGAATGCGGCTGCAGTTAAGGCTGAAGTTAAGTTCAAGTCGAGCTCTAAGCTACATGAGTCTCCGAAATGATCAGTTGAAGACTGCCCTCGAAGGACACAGATTTCAGAGCATCACGGACTTGGAACGAGCATTACGTCTCCACGAAGATGTGTGGCGTGAAGAAGGATATGATTCTCCAGCTCCTAAGAAGCCCAGAGATTTCCGCGCCGATAACGTCCACCAAAGCCGGTCTCAGAATCGTGGACCGACTAGACGTCAGGGACGTGCTTTCATGACCCAAGGCGATGCCGAACCTACGCAGGACTCAGAGTTCCAACATGAGTCTCAGAATCCTGAAGTGTTTGGGGATCAAGCAGAGGCGCACTCAAAGCCGATCTCAGAGTTCCCCCTATGGTGGAAGTGATGGAGAAGTGTTTCGTGTCGCAGAGAACCAACACTGGAAGTCACCCAACCCACATCCGGGTCAAGGTGCAACACGACCAGAGAATTGGGACGTCTTCTGCGAGAAATGCAGGAAGTGGGGACACCCTGAAGCCAACTGCTGGACTGGAATGATATCTGAACGATGCCAAGGCAAGGGGCACCCGGCCAGAGTCTGCACCAGAACTCCTTGTGCAGAATGTGGAGGTTTCCACGGTGGAATATCGTGCGAACAGTGGAAAGCTTTTCAGTCCGTGATGACATTGGCGAAACAAGGAAATGCAAGTGAATCGCCAACTCAATTTCGAAGTCTCCTTCAGACCAAGGATCACGCTTCAGGGGCGCAGCAGTTAAACCAATAAGCCCGCCGGATGGGGATCCG